CAGGCAGGTAATCGTGCCGCTCTTCTTTACATTTCTTTTTGAAATGTAATCGCTAAATATAATACGAAGCTTTATGAATAAATTATACTAATAATCGTATTGTGAGTATTCATGAAATAAAACTTTCGTATTATATCTAGCATTTTTCGCGATTATACTTTTCAAAAGAAATGTGAAGAAGCGACACGCGTCACGGTTACTTGTCTATACGAATGGTATCACACACGTGTCATAAAAAAATGTTAATATGAAAACTCTCGTGCAAAAAAATCGCAAATCCTGCTTTTACAATGAATACGGTTTAATAATTAATAAATTTTTTTTTAGCACCTTTCGATCTTATACGGAGATCCGTTTAAAAATTAACCGTAACTATTTATCGATAATAAAAGAAACATTTTTCTTTTTTATTAATCTCTAGCCTATTTCATTCTAGACTCTAATCATTTATGTCTAAATAAAAGATTCAGCTCTTTTATCTGCTCTGACTTTATTTCGCAATTATAACGAGTTGCAGACGTGATATTCGTTTCTAAAAGTTAACCGATTGCACAGTAATATAGATAATAGCTATATATTACATTTTTCAGATTATTTTCCTTCTTCCGAGTACCTTGATGTGATGGGAGGGCTCAGAGGATATTTACACGAAAAGAACGTTTTTTTCTCAAGTATTTAAAAATTTTCGGATATATCTCAATATATCTAGATAAATTTTTAGGTATTGAGTAAAATCATTCTCTTTGTGTCCAACAGGGAAGCTAATACTCTCGTACCCTCGCCGCCGATTTAAAAATGAACGAACCGCAGCCGGTTCGTCGCGTCGCGCGTTTCGGGAGTGCCGTTCAAGTTATAGTTCGCGCGCGATTATATTTTATTATTCGTGAGTGTTTTACGCGAGTGTCCTGTGCGAGATGTTGATCATATTCTGAGAGGAGGAGGAGGTCTGGAAGAGACATCAGGCACCGGTGGAGCAACCTTGCGGTAAATATTATTTTTTTACTTTTAAAATTAATTTTTTTGCTTGTTTTTAACTCATTTAATTTGACATTGAGTTAAAAATGATTATTTTTAAATCATTGTTAAATAAAATGATTTAAATAATTTTATATTCTATCGAATAATTCTATAAAATAATTATATATTCTCTATATAAGTAATTATATATATTCTCTAAAACAATTATGTTTTTTTTTAAAGATCTTAGTAAAAATAAATTTGTATAAAATTTGTAAGTAATTTGTAAGTAATTCTCCTTCTATCTAATTTAGATAAAAGGAAAGTTACTCAAAATTTAGATAAAATATTTATATATTTTTTATAAAATAATTTATATATATTCTTCAAAGAAGATCTTAGCAAAAATAAATTTGTTAAAAATTTTAAAGTAATTTAAATAATACTTTAAAATTTTTAACAAATTTATTTTTGCTAAGATCTTCTTTAGAGAATATATAATTGTTTTATATATAATTAAATAATGGGTACAGGAAATTCGATGCTTACAAAAATTATATTTTCAAAATTGCATGATTTTTTAGCAAATTGCATACGTTCGTATAGCAATTATTTTTTAAAGTTAACTCATTATTTCTTTACTCGATTTTAATTTTAATTTTAATTTATTCGTTACAGAATCATCGTAGCGACGTTGCAGATTTAACTCCACTGTTGCGCATCGGTTGGTGAGTGATGAATTAATGTTTTTATTGAGGCAACGGATATATAATAATTTTATTAATATACCATACATATAATCTAAATGCATATATGAATCAATTTAATAAAAATTAACTTAATTAAATGTATATATAACATATATCCGTTGCCTTAAAATGGATAAGTTGTGATAGATTAGGATAAACTTAATTCTGAATTATGGAATTTATCATGTAATGTGCATACACTATTAAATTTTAATATTATACACAGTAACATTACACTCAGTTTAAGTTATCTTTATTCTTTTCTATAAGTCGCTACTGTTCAATATCTCGTTAATTTAACTAAAACAATAAATAATAAATTTAATTGGAAGGAGCTGGATGTTTATTCTAAATGTATATTTCTGTGAGAAATAATAATTAAATATAACATACGTTTCGCCCGAATATTGAAAATAATCCCTATTGAGTTATTTTCAATGTTCGAATAAAACATTCTAATCAATTTCTTACAATATAAATTTATATATATAATCATTGTGCTTGATTGTGCTAAACACTCTAGATGCCTAGGGTTGGTTTGGGAGTGGAGCAACAAAGTCGGATTCGTCGGGAATTGCGAGGAACAAAATCAGAGAACTGTAATCAATCGAAATATTTTAAGAATTAACAATTTATACGCGGTGTGCTAACGCAGGGTGGCTAGGGGTGGTTTGCAATGTTCGGGGATGGAGCAACAGAATCGTATTCGTCGGGAATCGCGAGCAACAAAATCAGAGAACCGTAATCAGTCGAGAATTAACAATTTATAGGTGGTGCTCACGCGGAGTGGTTTTCGAATGTTGGAGATGAAGCAACAATATCGGGAAGTGAGCAATTAATTAGCAACAAATTAGCACAAAAAGAATATGCTGTATTTAAAAATTTTTTTTTTATTTTTTTGAGTGGTTATGTTAACTTTATTCTTATGTTAGTACAGCCATTGTTTTTTCGGAATTGGCTGGTACAACCAAATCGGGAATAGAGCAACAAATTAGCAACAAAAAATCATTAAATTTCTGTGCAACTTCTATTCGATTGAAGTGGCTATGTCAGCTTAATTAATAAATATTTATTTATCTTAATTATGCTAATAAAAAAATTTTTGTTATTTTGCAAATTTGTGTGCTAATAATGAGATCCGGAATTAATAAGATTTTCTAGATTTTTATTATACACTATTAAACTTTTTTTCGCATAACTCTGTCGAACTTTTATTTTCTAAGAGACATATTATTATTTATATGTGTTGTTATTTCATTGAAAATAAGTTTTATTGAAATTATTCTGAAATCGATCTATTTTGATTTTATCTACTTAAATTATGATTTAACTAACAATTAATTAATTTTTTATATTTTTAATTTTCATGATTTGGGATTATAAAATGTAATATAAAATGTAATATAAAATGGAATTCATATTTTAAAAGGGGTACAAGAAAAATATATGTTTGATTCAATTAATTTTGTAATAAAGTATACATATATATTTATTGTAAAATAAAATATATTTGTTTTTTATACATGTAATCACCGTATTTGTTAACAATACATGATTATACGGATAATTAAAAATTTATAAGTAACTAATTTTTTTTATATGTTAAATTTTTTTTATATGAAAAAGAGAAATATACATCGATAAAGAAATATTGAATTTTGATCATATGATTTTAAATAAACTTTAGTTACAAAAAATGGAATGCGCATGGAAATGTCTTTTATTTGCATGCTTCCGCTTTATTTGATTGTGATAAATATGCAATATTTTTATATTAATAGTTATAAAACAGTTTAATTGTCTCCTTAAAATAAGCTTGATAACAAATATAGCAAGTTTTATCAATATTATTTGAATTATTAATTATTAAGAAAAGCACATGGGAGATGCTAACTGCTTCGAATTCGACTATTTTGAGATTCTACAATCTATGTTGCAGTGTGGTACAAAAAATCGTGACAACTGTTTTTATATAATGGATATGTAAAATATACTTTTGAATAATCGATTATATAATTACATATTGTTTTGCATGAATCGTTTATATTTATTACACAATATTCATGATGTTGTACTTTTCGATTTTCCAATTTTTGATACTCGTGCTTCAAAAAAAATAATAGCGCAGTTAAGAATGTATTTATAAGAATAAAATTTTTTTTAAATACAAAATTCTATGTAATTGAGAAATCAAGTCATGATCAATTATACATCTTAGCAATAAACTAAGTTTTTATAAATATTTTAAATAATAAAATAATGATACATAATAATAAATTATTTATGTAATATATTCTTGATAGCGCTCTGTATGGAAATCTATGTTTGAAAAAAGAGAGAATGCTGTTGCAAGTAATCGTTATTATGAAAATTATGTTCATAAATATTTTAACATAATTTCTATATTTATTAATATTTAATTTTAGTATTTAATTTTATGAAGTATTTTAAACAAAAGAAGAAAAAAGAAAGCTGTTTGATATTTTCATTAAATAGAAAAGGCTATTTTATTATAGATTTTATTTACGTTTTTTAAGTATATAATTTTTCCTCACAGTTAATTACATATTTTTGGATCTCTATATTTCAATATATTTATAACTTCCTTAAATATTCCTTAAACTAAATATCTATATAAAATTCAATATCAAGAGATGAAGGATATAAGAATTAAATAGATGATTGTGTTGATATTTTCGTTTTAGTAGCGAACAAATTTAAGCGGACGAATTTCTACATCTATGTAAGTGACTTTTCATCAACATAATCTCTTTATTTCTCTGAAACGAGATCATAAAATGTGCCAGAGGTTCTATTATCTGTCTGAGAAGTAACATAAAAGTGACATAATTTCTTTTCTAAATTAGACCATGTTTGATTCATGCATTGTCAGTCCGTAATAGTTTACTATTTTATCTCATCTTATCTCATCTTATATTTTATCACATCTTAATCTAATTGAAATATTTTTTATATAAGTTAGAATTTTGCTTTAAAAACAGAAATAATTTGTTAATAAAGTAAGAATTGTTCTAATGTATAATAGTTACATAGAAGAAATTCTATGAATTGTTTTTCTTTGAAAATATAATTTTCTTCTAAATTTGTGTAAAAATACAAAATAGAAATTTATAATCACTTTAATATTAATCAACACCCTAATAATGTCTGATATCAAAAGCAGTAACAAACATTTTACAATAAAATTGTATTTCTTCGGTTTCGTTTAAAATACTTCATAAAATTAAACATGACAGTCGTTTGATCGCGAGTACTTGCGTGCTGAGCACAGACATGTCGATGTACTTCTTCCGGCTACACAATCTGCGCCGTCAGGCGGAGGAGGTACGGAAGAAACGACAAAAACGTGGCAGAGGCAGCCAGGGTGGACAACTTGGGACCAACCAAACGGACCAGTCTCAACCGACGGCTGGATCCATGCAATGTTGCAATCGGATTCATCGGGGTCCTAGCAGGCTCTTCGAGCGGGCCCCTTTACAACCTAGTGACTCGCTTGACGAAATTGCCTTTCAAATACCGAGGTAAATTTTTAATTTGCACGCTTCTGTCTCGAAATTTCTTTTGTCATTATATGTGGTCGCTCCTATTATATTTAATTGATATCCTTTGAATAATTATAGCTTGTAATTTATATAATAATGAGAATTCTTAGTTTATTAATATTTAATTCATTAACTTATAAATAATTTAATATATGTATATATGCATAAATATGTGTGTATAATTTTTTTATCTAAGTGTATTAATTATGCTTTTGTGAATATAATTACTCTCTGAAAGATATTTATGCATTAGATTTTTTCAGTTAATGAATAATATTGCTCATTTACTACAATAATGATTACAATTCACAAAATAAAATTTTCCAAAAAATGAATTTGAATATTTTGAATTATTAAAATTTTAATATAATTTTGAAATGCAACTTTGATGTAATGACTGATTGTAGAAAAATAAAAATGTATTTTTAAAATAAGTTTCTTCTTTATGTTTTCGTTCTTTTTATATAACTGAAGAGACAACTTTTAAATTACGTCATTATTGCAGAAAATGAGCGACATGATTTAAATAATTTTTTTTAAAAAAAAAGAAATTATTAATCTTAGAAATAATGAAGATTTTTCTATATATATATCTTATGGTACATAAGAACTTCAAATTATAGACATTTATATCTTAAATTATAGACATTAATATCTTTAATACGAAAGGTTCAATATGATAAGTCATGAAAATTTAAACCGATTGCAGTCATTTAAATGCAATCATGACACGATTTATATTCTAATCTGCTTAACGGATTCGTTAAAACTTTATCCGTTGTTTTGGGTTTTCAACATGAAACATCGTTTTACATTTCAAGAATCAACTTGATAAAGCAATTCGCGCAATTTAAAAATATCAGCTTGCGAAAGCTTATCTAATTCCTTTACAATCCAAATGCAATTCTCATCCTGATCTTAGCGTGAAATGAAAGTCGTAAAGCATCAAGATAGCAGCAGAACGTTCTACTTTTTCAAAAGGGTCAAAGGTCAAGAAGTGTGACTGCTCAGAAAAGAAATCGCAAAATTTGTACAAATATGAAGAATTTGAAATAAATATAAATTTCATTAAATCGTCAATGTAAACTTGTGTTCTTATTATGTACTTTTTATATACAAAAATAAGAATAAAAGTAAAATGCTCAATAAGAAACACACTATGAATATATTGTTTTGAATTTTTTATGTTGTTTTTATGAATTGATTGTACCTACATATAAAATGGATTTCCAAATAATATTCTTGTATATAATTGTGTATTGTCAATACTAAATAAATTTTTATATATACTGATAAAACTATGTATATAAAACTACGTATATAAAAGAATCGAAAAGTTTTAATAAATCAATAATTAATCTAATGATTAGTAAGACATTTCATAAATTAAAGGATAATTAAAAAATAAATTTTTGAAATTATAAGTTAGATAATATTTAAGAAATAAACATTTTTAGTTATCTAAACTTATAATTTATTAGAGATGTAACATATTTTTTAATGATTACTTCTTAATTGGTATAATATTACACAATCAATTTTATTTTGTGCATCCACAATGTACTTCTTTTTTATTTACGTAACAATTCTTTTTGGAACAGTAATGATGTAAATAAAGAACCATTTGCAGGATAAACTGAAGTCATGATAAATACACTTTGCAGATCGTAAAGCTATCAGTTCTTTTTATTTTGCTTTATTCAGTAAGGATGAAAATACAGTGACAAGGCGATATTGCTCTCTTGTGGAACTCTGGGCTACGTCGAACTTTTAATTTGTTTAATTATGTTTAGCTCCTGAGAGTGCCCGTGGCAATCCCCTCAGGATTAGCCCCACTTTCTTGTTTCCAACGAGCGAAAGAACTCGCTTAGTTGACGGAATTTCTAGAGGTAAACCCACTGAGTCGCGGTTGACTAGTGGCAGACGAGAAGATGGAAAATGATGGTAAAAAGAATTGGATTACTCTTCGATACGTCGACTGTATTCCCGCCTAGGCCGCAAAACTTTCGATCCTATCATGAGATTGTCATTATTGCGCGTCTCGTAAATTGAAGACAGTTACGCGAAAGCAACACAACTATTGACTTCTTAACTTTTTCAGATATATTTTAAAATAAAAAATAAATAAATTTATGAATATTGAAAACATTAAAACAATACGGTTCAACATTAATTTATCATTTAATGAATGCTTCGACAATTAATTATTTAACATTATCGTTGCAAAAGTATAAAGAGTTTGAAACAAGGCATTTTATTTTATTTTTTTCTTATTCAATTCTATATGTAATTTTCATTATTATTTTAAGACATTTTAATAAATAATTATTAACAAATAAAATATTGATTTAGATTTTTTATATTACTTTATACTTAATTCCAAGATATTCTGCAAAGTTACGAGAATTAAACTTTTTTTTAATCAATATGTACCATGTGCTTTACATAACAAAACCTTTCATCAGATTTTAAGTTTAATCGTGCTCTTCGACGAGCGATTCGTACGGGATTCATGACATAATAAAGGATTCAGTAATACCGTAGGAGTTCAGTAATGAGGTCCGAGAGGTTTAGAAGAAGCAAAAAGTGAATAGGTAATTTCTATAGTCGATAGTTCTGCCGCGCCCATGAGAACCAATCATGAACACACCTCTTTGTCAAAGCTCATCTATGTCATTTATATTGATAACAAATTTATGTCAAATTATTTTAGTTTAATGAGAGCGATGGTGCGACAAATACGAATTCTCGATTGTTTATATTACATTATAAAAAAACAAACACACACACACACACATATAGTACTAGATTTTCCTTACATTTATATATTTAAGAATTAGAAATTCTTTTTTTTTGTTTTTAATGCTCATATAAATAATAGAACATAAATAATATAATCTCTTGAATAATATAATATTTTAAATAATATTTTAAATAATATTTTAAAAATAAACTTATTAAAAAGTACAATTTAATTATATATTTTGTCGTTATTAACGTATTTGTCGTTACTAACTTCTCATTATTAACGTGTTGAGACAAAATTATGGACATCAAGATATTTACTTGACAAAAAGATAGTACATCTACTTCTCAAACAAATATCTTGATGAGTATAATAATCAATATCTGTCAATTGACGTTGACCTGAAAATGTCACATAAATGATGAATTTTTGTGTAACTTAATCGTTATTTATACATTTGCAGGCAGTTTGGATGTTCATTTAATTTTTGCGTAATAATACTTGTTTGATTATTGTTTCTCTATAGTGACTGGTTTTAAATATTTATGAGAAATGTAGTATAAACATGAGTCATCAATTTTTATCCGTCACGCTGATCTGTTATGCAAAATAAGTTTAACTTTCTTAAGAAGTCAGGTAAATAACGTGCATGTTATTATGCAAGATATGATTAAATTACATAATAAATATTCGAGGAAGCATTAAACAAAGTAAAGAAAATTAAAAGTGTTTAGATATTTTCCATTATCACATACCTAAAGAATATATCGATACAAATTAATTATAAGCAGACTTTGTACTAAAATTAAAATAAATGAAATTTTATCATACACATCATGTCTGATCGAATATAGTTAAATTTAATTGTACCAAATATAATTATTTTGCTATTAATTAACTTTATTAAAAACAATTATTTAATAACCTATACATCTAGTAGAAGGCAAAGTATGGCTTGGGACGAAAATACCGAGCGTATGCGTTACCATAAAAAAATTGGCTATGTGTCCAATATAAAAGAATATGTCGCATGATTTCCTTGTATATATTTCTTGCATATATAAGGATTTTCAAAACCTTCAATCAAAAGTATTATAACAAAAACGTCCTCTTTGGTATTGCTCTCAATAATGACGTTTTTGTTTTTGAGGTATTCAAAATAAAATCACAATTTAAGAAAAGAAAAAGATCGGTTCTATAAAACATAGACACGCGCGGATATAAACATAATTCGAGCTAATCACTTTTCAATGCGTACGATTCATGCGTACATGTCAAAACAATGATGGAAAGAAATGGAAAATGATAGCTTTAAATTTGTTTTATTGTTAGATAACTAGCTTTTATAAATGTCTTATTATTCCTAGAAAGGAATATTATTTTGCTTTTTAAGAAATATGTTAGGATATAAAAAAATATAATGGTTTTTGTGTTAAAATCAGAATCGTACATATGAAAAAGTATAATGAGCATTTTTAGTAATTAAAGAATTTTTTATAGATAAATTAAAACAAGCAATAAAATTTTATTTTTTGCCAATTTAAAATTAAATTTTGAATGATTTTAATTAATAGAATTTTAATGTACTAATTATTTGATATTGAAATTGAAATGTTGCAATAAAAACTGTCATTTATTCAACTCATTTATTGTATATTTTTGTTAAATTTTTGTTAAAAATTAATTTTGTGAAAATAGAAAGTTTTTAAGATAAATGTATTAGTTACAGAACATAATTAAATTACACTAGATAAAAAATGACAAAATTTTTAAATAAAGTTTTTAATGATATATATACACTTTAAATAAATTGGTCTAATTAAATTTTTATAAATAGCAAATTTATTTAAAGTCGTATATATTATTTTAAAACTTAATATTTAAAATTTTTATCATTTCGTCCAATAATTGGATCATATCCACTAATTGTCCATTAATTGGTATATTTGCCTTATTAGCCTTATACATTCTATTTATCTAACATTCTATTTATCTAAATTATTATAAATAAATTATATTATATATTAATAATTATATTATAAATTAATTATATAATATTTTTTGACAGTAAAATTTTCGATAATTTTAGACTATGAAAGTCCATTTCAATATTATCAAGATTGCTTGAGAAGAAATAACGGAAGTGCTCTCGTATTGTTTCATTAAGGTGCAGACAGCAAAGCTGAACCGTATATTTTCGTTCGATATCAGAATGTTCTCACCCTCAGAAACT